CAAGTAGTCTTGTCCTCGCTTGGTCGTCGGTAATCCTCCTAAGAAATCCATAGAAATACTCTCCTACGGTCTCGAAGGTACCGGTAATGGTAGATATAATCCCCGTTTCCTATTAGAAGGCTTCGAAATACAACATAACTTACAATCTCCAACATACTTAGTGACATCCTCCAGCATCTTTGGCCAAAAGACATGGCGTCGTAGATTGAGAAGCGTCTTTTGAATCCCAAAATGACCTTACACACGTGATGTATGTGCTTCTCGAATCCACTGTAATCGGTCGCTGTCCTCCGGAATGCAAAGCGAAGTCCCGCGATACAACAAACCTTCCTCACCAATCTTATACTCCCCCTTTCGACCAACCGTCACCCGCTCGCACACACTGCTGAAATCTCCGCTGGATGTGTATATCTGTACATACTCCAAAGGAACCAATGGCTGAATACGCGTCGCCACCAAAAGTACCCTCTCTGGTGGGCGAGATAACATATCGGCTAACTTATTCATCGTCCCTTTCTTGTACCTAATAATGATGCTGAACGCCATAAAATAGGACATCCACTTCATGTGTCGTGCCTACTGCAGCTTCATCTGGGCATGTAAAAATTCCAATGGTTTGTGATCTGAGTGCACAACCATCTCCTTACCCAACAAATACACCCGCCAATGCTTGATCGCTTGATAAAGTGCATAAAACTCCTTGTCGTAGGTAGGGTAATTTTGAATAGCACTCGTAAACATATCTGAATGGTACTCCACCAGCTTACCATCCTGAATCAACACAACGCCCATAGCATAACTAGAAGCGTCGGTCTCCACCTCAAAGGTCCTCTGTAAATTCGGTAAAACTAACACCGGTGCCTCCAAGATCTTCTTCTTCAGTAGCTGAAAATCCTCCTCATGCGCCCTACCCCACACGAACTGAACATTCGCCTTCGTAAGGCCATGCAAAGGTGCCGCATAAGTCAAAAAATGTCGAATGAAGTTGCGCAAGTACTGGCAAACCCCTATGAAGCTTCTCACCTCCGTCATTATCCTAGGTGTCGGCCACTTTGTGATCATCGCCACCTTACTGGGATCTATCCTTCGTTGGCCCTTCTCCATGATGAAGCCGAGATACACCAACTCGTCCTTCCCAAACTCGCATTTCTTCCCATTGAGCTTCAGCTGTCCGTTCTGCAACACTTCAAACACTTTTTCAACATGAATAAGATCCTCTTCCCAGGTCTTGCTGCACACCAAGTTGTCATCGAGGTAAACTATCACAAAGTCCTCTATAAAGGGTCGCAACAAATCATTCATAAGCCTCATAAAAGTAGCCGAAGCGTTGTACAAACCAAACGACATCACCAACCACTCGAATAGGCCCTGCTTGGTCTTGAACGCAGTCTTCCAAGTATCATCCTCCCGAATCCTCACCTGATGGTAACCAGACTTCAAATCCAACTTCGTGAAGAACCTTGCTCCCTCCAACTGATCCATGAGATCGTCAATCCGTAGTAATGGGTAGTGATTCTTAATGGTTATCTTGTTGAGTGCCCGGTAGTCCACGCACATGCGCCAACCTCCATCCTTTTAGGCACCAATAATACTAGAGACCCGCAAGGTGAACAACTCGGCATAATCACTCCTGTCTGTAAAAGCTCCTGAACCTGTCTCTTGATCTCCTCAGACTCCTGTACAGATGTGAGGTATAGACCTATATTCGACAAGGAACTCTCGTCGGTCAACATAATCTCATGTTCCACACCCCGCCGTGGTGGTAGTCCCGTGATCTCCGAAAACAAGTCCTCGTACTTGGCCTTCAACCTGTTAAGATCTCCTTCCTGAAGTTTGCTTAAGGTAGTCAAGTACATCCTACTCAGCTGCTCCTCATAAGGCCTAATGAATAATAATACAAACTTCTTGCTTGCATTCACCAGCCTCTTCACCTGAGTCATCGTCGCTAAACTCGTCTTCTGAGGAAGAGACACCAAACAAAAAATGAATTGCTCGCCATCCTTGATGAACCTATACTTCTGGGCCCACCTATCATAGACTGCATATCTATTCCATAAATATGGATTGCCCAGTATCACTTGGCAAACATCCAACGGAACGATGTCGCATGTGACATCGTCGATATACGACTCGTGGAGTACAAATCTGAACGTACATTGGTTGATCACACTCAATCCCGCCTCCTTCTGAATCCACCCCAAAGGATAGGGTTTCGGATGTTTAACCGTCTTTAATCCCAACTTCCGAACCAATGTCTCGGATATCAAATTCTTTTGGCTCCCTAGATCCACTATGATATCAATCAAGCTGGTCTTGACCTGCAGCTTCAAAACAAAGAGTTGTTCTCTCGGGTCTTCGTTTTCTGCCATGGCCTGCTTTCCCGCCATAAGGTTGAGACTGTTGTTGGGTTCTGTCATCCCAGAAACTTTCTTTGGACCCTACGCTATCATGTATGCTTTCTTCTCCTCCTTTTTCTTCAATCCCTTCAGCTTCAGATGAGGATACTTCTCCCAGCAACGATCAGCTACATGTCCTGTCTGTTTGCAGTGATTGCATGTCAATCCTGCCTTCTCCGAGTCACCCTTCTTCTTCTCTTCCTTAGGTTGAGAGCCACTAGATTTGCCTCCCGTTTGTTTAGAGTCCCTATTTATTTCGTTACCCTTCTTTTGCCTACCCTCAATGGCAATGGCCTTCACACTCACCTCTACAATGGACTCAACTGTGAAAAGCCTCATCTCCTTCCGGATATATTCGTTCAGACCCGCCATATACTTCATAAAAATGGGATATTCCTCTGTTGTGCTGTTAAGGACCATTATCTGCTGCTGGAACTCCGTTGTATACTCTTAAACGGTCTGATTGAACCGTTGGTGTAACCTGTACCACTTGTACCAACGCTCTTCAAGGAATCCTACCGGATAGAATTGCTTCCTAAGTAGCCCCTTGAACTTGTTTCACGACACCGTCTTCTTCTCCTGCTTGTAATAGGATTTTTCATCATGTCAAGACATGCCCTGAAAGCTTCAGAGTCACGAACACTAGCTTCTCCTTGGATGAATATCCGTAGAGTGTGAAATAGGTCTTCATCCGCTCGATCCAATCATCAAGCCTCTCGATGTTGACACACCCGTCATAAACATAAATCTCCACTTTTAAGTCTATCTTTAAATTTTGGTAAGAACCCTTACCTCTTTGGTGTGAAACAGACTTAACAATACGGGCCTCCTCATCAGAATCCTCGCCTTCTCCATCGGACTCCACAAGTTTCTTCTTGCCTTTCGAAGAAGATTCCTCCTTTTTTCCTCTGTCTTGGACAAGATTGATGAGTTGCACGAGGGTCTAACTCATTATCTCCATCTACTTCTCCAATGCATCTAGCCTTGTCGAACTATCTCCTTTAGTCATCTTCTTCTTCCTTAATTTCTGGACTCCTTCCAATGAAATAAGGATCTCGCCTAGCTTCTTGTATTACGATCGAGTCAGGACCATACACTGGATGTCCCCTTCACAGGATCTGATCACTCTGATACCAACTTGATACGAGTCGCCGTGCGATCACCCTTGATTGCGGAATTATCAAGAGTGTATTGTGAAGAAAATAACAGAAGAACACACAAAGAATTGATTTGGGCGAAGGAAAATACCTTCTCTAGATTATGAGAATTAATAGATTACAAATATCTCTCTCACAATCTCTCTAGATCAAAGAACAACCTCTCTGATCTTTTTTCTGATTACAATCTGGGTGATAAACCCTAGAAAAGTCATGTTTCTATTTATATCAAATAGAAATCCTAAACAGTGCAGGAAACTAAGCCCAGGCCCAAAACTGCGTCGTGGTCAACCGCGCAGGTATCACGGTCGTCCGCGACTGACTCACGGTCGACCGCGACTGACTCACGGTCGACCGAACCAACTTCCCGAGAGTAAAATAGTTACAGTCATGGCACGGTCGACCGTGACGATCGACTGAATCTCCTCACGGTCGGCCGTACAGGTTTTGCGGTCAACCGAAACCAACTCCATAGACTTAAATTCCTACAGTGTACGCGCGGTCGATAGCGGCAGTCGACCGCCTTCGGATCCATCTCCTCTTGAGCTCCTGTGGACATTCGCGGTCGACCGTGGCTGACTCGCGGTTGACCGTAGGCCGTCCAAACACATTTCCTGGAGTTTCCTGTAGCCTTCGACGCTGCCGCTTCTGACGACTTCTTACACGTCTCTATTCTCAAGATACCATGGGAATCATCTATCCTCACACTCCTGATGAGGATCACTAAGCTCCTAAAGTAAGGAAGAAGATACACCCATATCAGGGGGCCACAATGTGACCCTCGCTTTACTTGTGAGAACGTGACAACTGTCCACACCCAAGCGTACAGGCCCACCCGATATCATCAGTTATATATATAGCTTGATTTCTTCCTAGGTTTTTTGTGCAAGCAACAGAGGGGCGTGCATAGAGGGTTGCGTAGGTGCAAGTCAGAGTAGTTGAAAAAGAGGCGCCAGAGAAAAAATAGTTATCGGCTGAAGTTTTTTTTGGCTGAAGAAGAGAAATTGCCAGACTTTTCGACGGGTTTTTTGGCGGCATCTTTTTTGAGAGAGATATTTTTGTGAGGGATTTGAGAGATTGTTTGAGGGTTTTGATTGTGTGATTGTAAACTCTATTTGTATTCTCTCACTCTAATAGTATATCTCCCCCCTCATTGCCCCGTGGATATAAATAATTTACCGAACCACGTAAAACTTATATGATTTGATGTTTGTGGTCATTATAATAGTTTATTAGGTTCCCTTGACAGATCAGTCCTAGAACTAATGAGAGGAAGAGCTAATATCTCACTTTGATGAGATATTCGCTTTCAGATTCTTATTTCCTTGGTGAGACGAGAATTCTTATTGTGATTTTTCTCTCTTATTGTACACCAAAAACTCTGCCGAAATTTTCGCTATGCACAACAAGTGGTATCAGAGTCCAGATTCAGATCTTGGGTTTTTTGTTTTGGTTAGAGGAGTAGATCGATTTAAAAGCTCGTCTAGGGCTTTGTTTGGTGATAAATGTGTGATCTTTTGGTAAAGACTCTATCTTTTTAGTTTTGGATCTATTATTCGTTCGTTGGTGCGTTAAGTAAGATGTTGGGAAAGAATGTACTTCGGGTGTCGAGGATGGTGCTTCTGGCGTGAAGACCATTCAGAGTTTGAATATCCACTCTATAAAAATAGATATAGAGAAGTTTAATGGCACAAACAACTTTGGATTATGGAGATGCGAGGTTTTGGATGCGCTGAATGCGCAGAATTTAGAGGATACATTGGAGTTAGATGGCAAGCCAGATGATATTGAAGAAAATATTTGGAAGAAGATGAATCGAATAGCGTGTGGTGTGATTAGGTCTTGTTTGACTCAAGATCTAAAATATGATGTGATGAATGAGACTTCTACGAAGAAGATTTAGGAGATTCTCGAAAGCAAGTATCTAACAAAGAGTGTTGAGAACCGCTTGCATTTGAAGAGAAGACTTTATCGTTTCCAGTTGAAGAAGGGAACCTTAATTAGTGATCACATGAACACCTACACAAAGCTTCTTGCGGATTTGGCGAATGTGGATGTCATGATTGAAGATGAGGACAAAACGTTACTATTGTTGAGTTCTTTACCCGATGAAAAATATGAGACCTTCGTTCTTACTCTGATTAATGGGAATGTATCTCTTTCATATAGTGAGGTGACTGCTGTACTTATGAATTATCAGCTTCAAAAGAAGGATAAAGAGGCTTCAGTTGAGCCGGTAGCAGAGGCGTTGGCCGCAAGAGGGAAGGGTCCAAATCGAAAGAATTGAAAGTCACAGTCTAGAGTATGACATCCTACAATTAGAAAAGATCAGTGTGCTTGGTGCAAGGAGACTGGTCATTAGAAGAAAGACTGCCCAAAGCTCGACGAATGGATGAAGAATAAGCAGAAGGGAAAAGGAAAGCAACCATTATCAGAACAAACATCGTTATATCGGATGGTAATATTTCTGACTCGTCTATTTATTCGCTTTCTATCAGTCCTACAGATAGCTATTCGGAGGAATCTGAATGGATATTGGATAGTGGTACGACCTATCATGTGTGCTCTAGAAGGGAATGATTCTTCAGTTTTAAGAAGCTGGATAGTGGTGTGCTGTATATGGCTGATAACCATGCATGCCAGATCCTTAGGATAGGAAGAATTCACATCAAGATATTTGACGGAACTATTAGGGAGTTATATGATGTGAGATATGTTCCTTTCTTGAGGAAGAACTTGATCTAGATTGGAGCTTTGGTTAGAGAGGGTCTGAATGTTCAAATTGAGGACACGGTTCTCAAGATTATGGAAGACTCTCAAATTGTGATGAAGGGTGTCAGGAGGAATAACTTGTATTACTTAACTGAAGGTATAGTGGCAGGTAGAGAAGTGGTGACTTCTATTGATTCGACTAGACTGTGGTATTTGAGGCTTGGCCATTCTAGTATTGATTCCTTGCATAGATTGAAAGAGGGTGTGAAAACCTATAGTTTAAAGTCCAGTGAACATGTGATGTGAACAAAAAGACCGAGGTGAAGTTTGACACCGCTATTCACCGTGCTAAGGGTCATTCTGGAGGTGTTCACGTGAATGTTTAGGGGCCTTCTAAGGGGGCATTATTGGGAGGTAATAGATGTTTGGTTTTTTTTGTAGGTGGTTGTTCTAAGCGTGTTTGGATTGCAACCAAATCCCCTTTGAATAAAGTCTTAGTAGTCTCCAACAGATTGAAGAAGTGTGTGATAGACAGAAAAGTGAAGGTACTTTATTTTGGTTTTGGTGGGAGGCACAAGATGGATCTGTTTCTGTATTGGAGCCGAGCTCACGGTATTTCGAGACGCTTCGTTGGAAAAGAAATCTTAGGACAACTAGATAGGATGGCAAATTTGGAGAGCCGTGCCTTGCTGGAGGAGAATTAGTGTTTGTTATCAAGCAATGTTCCGTAGAAGAGTTTCTAGACTAAGGCTTCGACATATTCGAGCCATCTTATTAAAGAGTTGTCAACTGCTGTGATAGGAGGTAAAACTCAATTGGGTGTTTGGTCTAGTAGTGTCACTTCGGTTGAAGCTTCGATGAGGGAGCTATTTGACTCTTAGTAGATGGAGAGTTTTAGACAGACCTTAGATGTATCACAGCAGGTGAAGAGTGATGCTACTCCATATTAGATGAAGATTACTCCACATACTCCAGATCATACTACATCGTTTAGGATTCTAGCTGAGGTGACACACTTTGGGAATTATTTGGATTTGATGCAGATGAAGAGTTGTTTGATTCGAGTGCAGTTGATAGATATAGTTTGGATATGACCATTGGTTTACCTCAGGTGGAGGTGTTTGATTCGTTACACTTTGAGGCCATTGGAGG